GGTGGGGGTGGAGGGAGGAAGGGGTGGGGGCGGTCAGGGAAAAGTGCTATGGTCCTGATGACGGTCATAAACTGTTAACTTGGAGCTTGATGTCAAAGCGTCCCTGGTAGCGGTCCTTGTCACTGTAGTCGATGTTGTCTCCGAACACTTTGCACTCGATGCGCAATTCAGTGTTCAGGGTCAGGTTGGTGAACTGCAGTGCCACCAGTGGCTGCAAGTACTGAGGGTGCAGCAGTTTGCCATAGTAGGGATAATACTGCAGGGGGAAGCCGCCACTGATACCATGGTACTTAATCTCTCCGATTTTACCAGCATCCTCTTCTCTCTGGAAGGAGAAAAAAAAGAGACATTGTATGGAATGACAATACTATAGAGACACACACACATGCTGCAGTCTAAACTGACAAAAAGAAGAATGTGTACCCTGTGAGTGCAGTAGAGAGGGATGATGTTGGGCTGCACCTTGGGTTGAGCCTCTTCAGGGATGCTTTCATTAGAGGTAGGAGGCTAAACAAGAAAACAAGTTAGGACCTTTTTTTTTTTTCCCCCAAACACACATCACATTTCTGCCTGGTACTAGCATGATATCTATATCTGGTTCTGTACATCCTAATAGAGGGGTAGATAATGTGATTGGAGCAACCACAGATGAAGGTCTGGCACCCATACTACAAGCACTGCTACAATGTGCAAGATAAGGGTCACGTGACTGCCAAGGGGAGCTGAATTAACACTATCAAGCTTCTTCACGGGCTCAGATGACCTGCTTAAGGTATAAGTCACATAAAACGTAGCCTATGGCGGCTTTCAGCTGTGTCCGTCATTTGACCCTTACCTTTAGGGTGTTCTGGATAACTATCCCTGTCCTGAGAAGCACCATGTCAGCTGCACTGCCTAGCTAATTTGCATATTGAGGTCTGATCAGATGACATGATTGAGATAATGTATCCAGAGATGGCAGGTAAATACCAGGTGGAAATGGAGAAGGAGGCTTGGGCATGAGATTACACTGGAAGACTGAGATCTCCCTAGGTCACTCAGTCTGGCATTATTAATGACACAATATCTAATCAATATCTAATCAGCACCATTAATGGTGAACCAATAACAGCCAAATTACATTTTCAGTCTTATGCCAAACTGTAGCAACCAACAATTTACAATTTTACAAATTTGGACTTTTTGTCTTCAAGAAAACATGACAGACTTAAAATTACCCTTGGACGGAAGTTGACGACCCTGTTGAGCTTTACAATCAGACAGGGCTTGCCATCCTTGAAACCAAAATCGCGGTCCTCGATGCCGGAGCAGGGTCCCAGCAGCGACCTCTGGAAACGGCAGGCCTTCCTGATGCCCACATCGCTCTCCAAGTCACCCCGGTTCTTGTAGTCTGCAGGTTCATCTGGAGGGGGGAGTGAAGGGTTAACTTGGGTTAGGGCCAACATTCATGTACTTATACAACATTACATTCTGTCCACTCTCGAGTTTAGATTAGGCAGAAATCTTTAGCCTTATTGTCAGGAGTTTTGAGGAAGGGGTCTAGGTTATCTAGAATATCTTTGTTGATTTGAAGATTCACACTGTATTGTACACACGACCATGTGTCACCACAAACCCCTAGTGAAGAGATGAAGCTGCTCTATTCTCTGGAATTAACTTTCAAAAGAGAAGCAGGATAAGCCAATGAGATCACAAGTAAAGCCTACCTCCGCAGTCTTCAAACTTCATCTGGTCCCTCTGCATTTCGTCGTCATACTTGGCCAGGAAGTCCTTCAAGGCCTTAGTGTAAGGTAGGTAGGTCTCCACATCGTTCAGGTTGAAGGCCACTTCAGCTTTGTCTGATCGTGGGGTGTGGGTAAGGCCTGCGGGGACGACAGATCAGCCATTTGTCATCAACCATAATACCATATTAAACGAGTGTGTCCTGATCCCAGATAATTAGTGAATAAAAAGTCAATAGAAACCTCATATCTTGAATAAGAGCAGAAAAGTTATAAAACCCTGAGACATCTAAATTCCAATTTCTAATTTTCAGAGTTAACATGAAACATTTAAAACACCGACTGAGAAAATTCAAGTTTTTGCCAACTTCTGCAGATTCAGATGAGGTGATCAATATCAATGTCATGTCTGTGCATCCAGGACACAGATACTGTTTCCTCTTATTTACAGTCTTTCTGCTAACAGGAGCTGAATCGGCTGAATATGGTCCGGGCCTACAGTGTTTCTGTACAGGAAGCTGATAGAGCTCATGTGACTCAAATTAGTGGTCTTTTAGCCCAGTAACATCACACAATAATGGAGCTCATTTTAACTCCTAATCTGTGTTGTTTTAACGTAATCCATTAGTGCATGTTTAGAACACTGTCAACTCTAATCAGCTGAGCAGAGATCGGGTCATCGACAGTAGATTTCTCTGCGACACAGCTGTGTTTGTATGACCTCAAATGAACACAACGCTCACTGATGAGCGTCCTGTTTAACCTCTCCTGGTTTACCTTCATCCTGTCCACTCAACACTTGCTCATTTGACTATATTCTGCACATGCTCAGTTTGACCTGATAAACCCCAGCTGGCCTTTTCTGCCATGGAAACAAGGCTGCTGTGTGTACACAGGGGAGGCTTGCAGTCGGTGCAGGCACTGCACTGGGACCATGACGTAAAGATATATGGAGAGTTCATTTCCAAAACAGTTTGCAGCCAAGTTACCTTTGGCCAGGGTGAGCACATATGTTGACTTTTAATAAAAAAAAATGTGTCATTAAGGCAGAGCACTTCCACTACTGCAGTTATTAGATTTGAAGAACCATGTTTATGTTTATGTAGTTTAAGAAATCTTAAAGAGTTATTGACACCGTATCTGGCTTTCTGATTACTGACTGTACAGGTGGCCCTCAAGTCGCCATGTAGTTTGTCAGTAAAAACTATGATAAACAATGTGATCATTAGGGCTGTGTATTTGCAAGAATCTACCATACCATATGTATCATGATACAGGGGTATGATTCAATATATTGCCATATCATATGCAACGACAGGTTTCGCCTTTTTAAAATCAAATTTCAGGAAGGTCATAGTATAAAGAACACACATAATGCATAATACGCTGCTATCTAGGAGTTGGGGGTTTAAACACAAAAATCGATACAATAGCATCAAAATTAAATATTGTGATACTCAAGTGTATTGATATTTTCTTATACCCCAAGTAATGATGAATTTGTATTATTTCCAATAGCCAGTCTTTAGATATAACATGTTGAATAAGATAACTCCAGCCTCCTGCTCATAACCTTTGACTACAGAAGAGATATAGGAATGAATAAAGAATCAATACGACTTTACATGAATGCATCATTCAGGCAGACTTTGTCATAAAAGACTTAAAAGATACAAATGTTTGTTGGGTAGGGGCAACTCTATTTAGGTGGGCTGGCAAAATAAATAATGTCATTTATATATGATATCTGTCTCCAAATACAGATATGACATCACATATCTAACCTTGTTTGGAACTCAGCATCATACATAATACTCACTTTACTACGTCACTTGACCACAATGTCTTACACATGCATTTGTCATACAAAACAATTTTGTCATGTCAACAAAGCCACTAAGAAGGCAGCCTCTGATGAATCAACATAGTTCAAACTCATAGACCCATTCAGGAAGGTTTAGCTGCAATTTTAAAATTTAGGAATTATTGTGACAAGATCCTCTAGTAAACATAACCCTATTTGCTACTTTATTCATTTGACTGGTACTGAGCAGTGGGTTTATTCTGTTTTTTCTTCCTGAGCGTCTAAAGACGACCTTTAGGCTCAGAGGCAGATCTGCAAGCTGGAATCCTGACAGACAGGAAGGAGGTGTCACTTCTTACCAGGGGGTGCGACTCTGTCTTGCCAGGTGGGCTTGTAGTTACTCAGGGTGAGCAGCAAGGCTTGGATTGTTCCGATGAAAACCCCCGCCAGACAGCCATAGAAAACTGTGTAAAACAGCAGAATTTTGACTGTGGAGGAGAAAAAAGGAAAAAAAGTCAGTACAGAAGGTCAAACAGCAAGGTTTTATACTGCCATGCATGTCCTCATCAAGGAAATTAAAAAAAAAGTATAATAGTTAATCGTATGCAAAAAAAGCACATAAAATAATCAGTGTGATATTCACTGCAATAAGTAGATTAGGGTTGGGACAATATACATCACCACAATAGAAACACTAATAGGTTTATTGTGGTGAATTACCATCATGAATATCCTCACATGGTTCGACTTGAAAAAGCTATCCATCTCACTAACGTACAGTCGTATATTGATTTCCTTATTTATTTTGAATTGCCACAATACAAAACTTGTGTAAAATGTAAATTAAAAGATTTCTAACTCATTTTGTTAATTTTTTATGTTTTTCAGTTAGCATGGAATTAAAACATTTTTTAACGATCGCTAAAATTTACACTACATGGATCAAAAGAACAAAGACTGAGGTATGCATTCTGTAATAGACCTACATTACTATTGAGCAACATTGAGAAAACTGACACCTTGGACTAACTATTATGTTTTATTATTTCTGCTGTTTTACAATGAACACACACATTTTCATGTGAAAACAAATATAAAACAAATTAGTGGCTGCCTATTATTGCCTCAATATACAGCCCCTTTATTGTAGTCACCACTGTGTGTGATTAAGGTGTGACAGGTGATTCTATATACACAAACAAACTGTATTTAAACTAGACATCCTCCTGTGTGAGGAGAGCACTCTTGAGGAGGTCCCCCAGGTGTATGCATCCAACTTGTTGAGCAGCTGCATGGCTGAGGTGGAGAGGACACACAAACACACACGCTCCATCACAATCACAGCTGTACAACTGACTGGCAAAGAGAAAGCTACTGCTGAAAAGAAAAGCCTCACAACATCTCAGCCAGAAAGCATGCAGTGGCAGACGGTTTAATGGTCTCACGAGACTATAAATAATTCAACAAAGCTTTTCGCCCATTTGGCTCGAACTAGGATTGGTTTATGCTAAACACCACACATGAGGGGAGACACACCATCCCCAGCATTAAACCTGCTGGTGGTGACAACATAGTGTGGGGACATGAGGGCTAGTAAAGGTAGAGGAATACAAAGAAGAACCTCCAGCAGTCTGCAGGATAACATTACCAAACATAAAGCTACACAGAAACAGCTACAAAGTTAACTCCACGAGCGACCAGGGTCCAGACCTAAATCTAATACTGTACTGTAGCAGGAAATTGCGATCCATTCATTCACAGCCTAAATGCAACCTGAAGACAGAGTTCGACTAGCTGTGTAAAGACAAATGGAGGGAAAAAAATGCAGTAAACAGAATAGACGTGCAAAGCCGATACAGACTCAAGGTTATAACTGCAGCATACTGAGAGGCCCCTACTGAATACTAACATTTGTAGGGGGTAAATACTTATGTAAGCAATTTTTGTGCACTGAGACTTTCACTAATTATTATTTTCTTTTAGGATGTGAAATACAACTCATTAGCATTTTATTGGATCAAAGGCGTTACGAATTGTACCAAAATAACAGTTTTAAATACCTCATACAGTTAAACAATTCAAAGTCATCCATGTTAGTTTAAATCTCTTCAACATGAAGTAGTCATTCATCGAGCAGCTCCAGCTTCAAGGACATCTGTCAGACACCACCATGCTAACAGAGCTTGTGTCTCCACTATGGATGTAAGGAACTACAAAGCCAGCATTCATAATAAAACAATCCAACAGGGCGGTCATTGTCTTCACAGATTTACAGGAATTCAACTGTGAAGCCTGTACATACAGGGTAATAATTACTTAAAGAACTGTTGGCTAAAACATTTTTACCATGAAGAGGCTGTAGAATTACAGTTAAAGCATCACAATTCTATTATCTATGCTGCAAAGCAATGAATAAAGCATTGCTGAAGTTAACCTGGCAGCTAAGCGAGCTATACATTCACCCAGTCAGACCTTTTGCTGCATGAGGACAATGTCAAAAGGTCACAACGGCATGAATCAGTTAATACATGACACATCACTTATAGATGCAAGGACATACGATCAAAGCTTGTGTCTTTGGGCATTGTAAACCTGACATTCCAAGATATCTACTGCACCTTATCTACAGGAGACACAGCCTGAAGACAATTTACATTCCACTCACGGTATTCTGCCTAAAGACATACGTAAAAACACATTTGATATTCAGTGCTTCAAACTTAAAGTTGTTAAGGTGGTCCCATATCAGCCCGGATGTCCTTTCATCACAACCTTCAACACAGCACTGCGCATGGCACACTTCCTAAATGCATCAGCATTTTCGGATGACCTCAGAAGGACAAACATGAGCCCCTGAGCGCCACACAGCAGCTCCACTCAGGTGGAGCTCCTGCAGCAGTCGGGCTGAGCTCTGATCTAAGAGAAGCAGACATCATGTCACTAAAACGCTACTTTCACCCAGGTGTTAGAGTCCAGACAGGACTGAGGAGCTGTGTGACATTGAGAGGAGGAACAAGGACATGCGCACTGCTGCCACTAGAGAAATAGGAGAAGAAAGGTCGAACAAGTTTATCAGTTGTATTGTTCGTTAGATTACAGTGACATCTGATCAGAGGAACCCGACACGGATCGATAGTCCTCTCTCTCCATTTCCGAGCAGGCCCTATCACCTTGACTCACCTTGGACAATGATGCATTTTTAACCCTTTGATTGCCGATTCCAAAACTGCCTAAAGACAAACTTGACGTTTCCCTAACAACAAGCCAATGTGGACAAGACTCAGGTCCAATCAGTTACGAGCTTTGCATCGTTTGCGCCGCTCCGCAGCGTGTACGCTCTATGCATGTACAACCTGAATTCCGCTACTCCAACTGGCAAAATCACACATATCATAACCCTGACTTAAACATCGCTAAGCTGTTTAATAAAACTAAAACCAGCATGTTTGGAGCTTTTTGGGACTGTTAGTTTTCCAGGTCAAAGTTGGGACATAGCAGGTGGAACTTAGTAAATGTATTAGTTACAATGACGCAATATTGTCTGGTGTTGCCGGTTTGTTACTGAATGCAGCAAAGTCAAATCAAACAGGTGGAAAGAAACACGAGTCGACCGGCGCGCGCTCCCATCTCCTACAACCGTGAGCGCGCGCTTACCAATTCACCACGAACACCCGGTCCGTTCTGCACACATACTCACCCCAGCTGCCTCCGGTACGACCCAGCACCTCTCCTTTCTCGGAGTCCCACAGAAGCTTCTTCCATCCGCCATCGTCTTTGTTTGAAGACATTTTGCTTTATTCCCCGTAAGGTGTTCCGTTACTCGTTCTTCGGCGGACTCCCTCTGTGTGCTTACCAAGTCCCAACCCGTCGCAGAGGAACCCAGCTCTGTCTGCTGGAAGGCTCCCCAATATAAACCGTTCCTCCTCGACTCCGCCCGAAACTCTCAACAAGTTACCTAGTAGGAAGGCGGAGCACCGCCGGCCAATTAGGGAGCGGAAAAGCCGTGCGTAACTGTGACGTCCAGAAGACGGACAGAGAGCCTATAGATGCAGACATTCAGCACTATAGCATGTCCTGGTTGAGCTTAATGCAGATGTGTCTGTGCAGGTAGAAAATGATTTATCTTCTTCAGGTATTTTGCTACAGCCTACATATAGCTTAAAATAGTGCATGTACACACAGGTGTTTATATACATAGGCCTATGCATAAATGTATACATACACAAAGGGTGGGGTATTGTAAAAAGGCAAACAACAGATGACCCTGAAGTACAATGAATATATATCAATCAATGTAAAGCTCAGGTTTAAAGGTCCAGTGTGTAACATTTAGGGGGCTTTATTGGCAGAAATTGAATATAATATTCCTAGGTTTACCTATGTTTTCATTAGTGTTACCTTAGAATGTGCCTTTATCTACTGACGCCACAAGTCCGCCATGTTTCAGCCACTGTAGTATCTTCCAGAAGGGGAGTGTGACGTGATGGATTTTCAATGTGCAACTACACCGCTAGATGCAACAAAGTCCTACACACTGGTCCTTTAATTGTCACATATAGGCCTAATCATACACAAATAGTGAAATGTATTTCCATTCCATTCCATTGCTCCTACAATTTGTCCAAGAAAAATACCAGAAAGCCAGCTTTATTCTTGCAGCGTCTGCCGTAAATGGCTCTTTTCCCCCTGGTTCTTCTGTTCTTTGAACACTGTGTACGTACGCCCTCGCGTCAAGATATACGCACTTATGTGCATACTGTACATAGTGGTTCTCAACCTGAGGAAAAATGGGACATATTTAAATTTCACATTGGCTAAAAGTTAGCCCAGTGAGAGAATGTGTAAAAATGACTTTTGACTATTTTATAGTTTTCACACTCTCTACTGTCAGTATACCAATCTACAGTGTATACAGTTATGGACTACCTATATCTTATCAGATGGAGACCCCTGAGACCACATCTTATCAAATACGGGTCTGCGACCTGATGTGTATCAATTTGAGGAACCATTGCTATAGACTATATGATATTGTGGTGTAGTGGTTCATATTGCAAAGTTTGGAGAACAAAATAGTAATTAATTAAATCATTAACTTACAAACCAATAAAACTTTTTCACAGCAGCCATTTTGACACGAAATAGGGTAAACTCAGGTGTTACCAATGATAACGGTTCTGTTTTTGGAGTCAGGGTGCCGCCATTGAACGCGTTGGCTTACTGGAAAGACTACACTAAATGGAATGGAACCTTAATAATAATAAAAAAAATAATAAATGAGTGTCATTGGTAACATTTGTGTTTAATATTTCATGTCAAAATGTGAAAAAGGTCTGTTGACTCACAGTGAACATGGAGCCAGGGCCCCTGTTTGTTATAGCAGTCTAATGGATCTGTTGTGTCCGTCTGGAGTTTCTGCTTGAAATTTTGGGCCCTGAAGCCCACAGCTCTCACACAGTAAATATTTATCCAGTTTTGGGCTCCCAGAATCGCTCAAGCCCCACCCCTACCCTCATCACCTCTCTCCCAACAGCACCCCTATTCAAATGATCCATCAGCCTTTTTTCACGAATAGTGAGTACAGATAAGTACAATGACACCAGCCTGAGATATTCCAGGAAATATTTCCATCTAATGGGTTTGTAAAGTGCCACAGACTATAAGCTCTCTATAAGATTCTTCCTGCTAAACTGGTGTCTCCAGAAGTGAATTGTTTTTAACAACTCAAAAAACAAGTGGACTGCCATACCAGTAGAAGCTGGATGGTGAGTTTTGAACTTCAGTCTAGATTTGTCCTTATCTTACAAACTTTAGCATAGAGTAGGGTGTGGGAGAGACTACATTGCCACTTGCCTATGCCACTGTTGGTAAAATAAAGGCTTAACATACTCCTTTTTGACTTGACAGAACAGAGGAAAGCAACTATGAATTAATTAAAAGGTCTAATGGATGTTCCTGTGTAGCTAAAGACTTGTAATTTAGCATGACTGTTCACTTCATGCCAACAATTACAATGAGGCACAGCAGAATGCCAGATTACAGTGCACCAACCTACAATTCTAAATGTACTCGGTTGCTCTAAAACACTCATTATGGCACAAACAATGTAATCATTTTATCCCCTTCACTAACAGAATGGAGTTAATTTAGCTTGTGTGGCTCACACTTGTATCTGCTCCCAGTTTAACTCAGTGGGTGTCCTGTGTTGTTGTGTGCAGTGGACCCCTCCTCACAGCCACCCCCTGACACAACAGGGATAATAAGCTCTAGTTACACAGCATTGCCAAGTATATACATAGTTGAAACCTGTATATATATCCTGCCTTCTACATCCCATAACCCCTCTCTAAAGCCTTTTCCAAGGGCATCTTGCTGCCGGTGCCAGTGCCAGGGGCCACACAATGTCCCAATTTTCTACCTGAGCTTGAAATAAGAGGCCATTTTATTTATACTGCATTATACTATAGTATATACTAAATGACTGTACCTCTTAAAGATTCCATATGTAAGATTGGAGCTGATTTATATGTGTTTCTATGTAGTGATGCGGCTGGAATTGCAAATCCACTTTTTTACCAACAATAAAACAGTGTTGAAAATAAATGATGTAACGGTACAAAGCAAACAGTTGCTTCCTACTAGGCAAGAGCGATGCAAGGCAGGGGCATTCTAATCAGCAAAGTAGCCTAGGTAATCTGGGGTTGGCTGGCTGGCTGGCTGTGGTTTGACTGCGGTGAGGGTTGGCTGATGGAGTGATCTGCAAATGGTGAGCTAATTAGTAGCATGGAGCCAATGTTCCAAATAAAATATAGGAACATTGCAGATAGTTGTTATTCTGAATATGATTGTATGGAGCGCCAGTCAACAGGATCCTGACTGCAGTTCACTTAATGGCCACTGGTGTCACTATTCACAATGTTTTTGTGAACCTTTAAATGCATCGTCTAAATTAATTTTGAAAAAAGTTTGATTTGCAAAAAATTAAGAAAACCATACCTAACCAACCTGCCCCCTACCTACACACAACACACACACACGCTGACCGTACAGGCTTTAACTTCACATTCTTGCCTGGCTATGTGAGCTGTGTGTAATGTGTGTGTTCATGCATGCATGTGTGAAATCGCTCAGCAATGTGCTGCCATCTGGGTGTCTTGAGCTGTGTACATTTGTTTGAATGTAAACATGTGTGTGTCGGTGTGATTGGTCAGGATTACACACATGGGGGTTTAACCTTTAAATATCATCACAAGGACAAGAGAAGTCAAATCACTGATGTTTGTCCAGCTCTATGTAACTCCATTATAAAGGAAAAAATTCACCTGACCTCCTGCTCACAATCAGCTGTTTGATGGTAGCTAAGTGTAATATTTTGAACCATTTGGTACTGGTATATGGGTGACCAAATTGCACTACTCCAATGTAGAACATGTGAACAGGAAGAGGATGGTGTTTCGAGACACTTGTGTTAAGACCCCACTGTACGGGAAAGCCCCTCACACCAGTGACCAGTAGCTTAATATGAACTCTAACCACCAAAATAAAATGATTTTAAATAGACACTGCTAAATCGATGGGGAACAACCGGTGTGGGGGAGGAAGTTCGTTCGGGCCAGTCTGGGATAGATGTATTGAGGGCCAGGGAGGAAAAGACTCAGTTATGAAGATCCGATTCGGTAGTAGGGTCACCCGAGCCTGTTATGGACCCCAGACGATACCAGGAAAAAGGAAAGAGAGATGAATAAGAAAGAATGAAATGATGGAAGAAAGGGTAGATGGATGTGAATATGTAGGGGCAGAGGATGGGGGTTGGAAGCAAACAGTATAGGCTGGGTTGACCAGGTATAAGTAGACTTGACAGGTGATTAGATGTGTGGTTGAGGCATGGCCCTGCTCCCGAACCATCATGAATGTATCCTACCAACAAGTATTGTTTGTGTATCAAAGCCTGATATATCTTCTTCCTGTGTGCCATGTGCTCCAAAAACTATGAAAAACACACCAGTGTTTACTGATGATCACTGTTGTACTAGGTGACATGTTCTTTCATTACCATGAACACACACAGTAGTTGTTGACTCAATCCATCATACACCGCCCTGCTGCCTCAAATACTCTCTAGTTCAGTGGTTTTAAAACTGGGTTAAGGGATCAACAGGGGTTCTTGTCAGTTGTATGGGGTCCCAAGCAAAAGGAGCATAGGAATATTTTAATTTTTATAAACATTTTTGGAAGTTGGAGCAACAAAGGTAAAAATAGCATTGACCTTTTTGTTTGCTTGCAGTTTATAGTGATCCTAGTTTGATCAATGATTGACTATGAAAGCTTTGTTATCTACAACCTATACTCAGAGGGGATTCCTTCTGTCTGTGGTCAAATGTGCTTCTACTGTGCACTGTTTCAACTCTCTAGCGGTCATACTCATAATGGTGAATCCTACCTGTCTGCTGCTCCAAACATGACGAGACAACTTCTAATAATTGCGGGGAACCATGCTGTTATTGTATATTTGTCCTGACCCAAAATTGGTCATAATTTGCACAGCTACAATACTCCTTTCCGGTGTTTATATGATGGAGCTAATGTGAAGGTAACCATCGGGCTGGAAACACACAGGGAGGGTTTGTGGCGCAGCCGGTGAGATGAAGCCTGCCATTTTGCTAATGATACAGCCTGGTGTCTGACAGCGACCACACCTAGACAACTGCTGCCTTTTGTCAGCTTGTGTACACAATAAACATATGTAAGGGTTTGTGGGGGAGGGTGAACTCAAGGTGAAAGCGAGTCTTCCTGTTTGACGCCTGCCCAGGTTGCATGAACAAAGTTTCTATAGTCTGATCTGATCAGCTCCACAATTTTCACCAGCTCTTGTCTTGGGGTATTCATAATTGATATGGATGTGTGACACTGATGAAACT